TTTAGAACAGTGCCTGGAGCTATGTAGACCATCAATAAAAATCCATTGAGCAAATAAGTGAATAAACGAATGAATGAATGGAGTGTTCAAGATTCTTTTATTCTCAAAAATGCTTCCTTCAACTTTATATCCCCCTCTAGCTCTTTCCTGCCTTCAAACATTCACTCTTTACCCTTTCCCATCTCCCGTTTCTCAACCTGTAGAATCTGGCTTCCATCCCTACAATTCCTCCCAAACTGTTCTTACCAAGGCCACCAGGATATCCTTATTGATCATTCTCAGTCTTTTATCTTCCTTGACATCTCAGCAGCATTTGGCACTGTTGCTCTCTCCGTCTTCTCTGAAACACCGTTAACATGGCACTATCCTCATTTTCTTTCATTTTAGGAGAGACTCTTCATTCCCTTTGGTGATCTCCGTCTTGCTGCTCTATCATCTAGGTGTTGTTCTTGGGTGTTTGACCTTAGACCCTTTTCCATGTAACTCAACACATTTTCCTTGGGGGAATTAATTCCCTTCCCTGGTGCTGATTGCTCTCTGTGTGCTCATAATCCCCAAATATGTATTTCAGTTGCAAAGGTCTGTCTTGAAATGGAGACCCATATATTCAGCTACCAATGGTACATTGTCTCCCAAGTACTTAAAAATTTAATGTGTCCAAATGGAGTTTGTCATTTGGATGATTCCCCAAATTGTCTTCTGTCCTTGTCTTTTCCATCTCAGTGAAAGGTCCTCTAGTTATCCTGCTTGGCCTGAGCCAGGAACCTGGGCATTGCACTTGTCTTTCTCTCAATCTCTCACCTGTCTGCTTCCCCCCACCCCATATTTCCTGTCAGACGCTCTTCTTATGTCTACATGCTATGCAACTTGAGTATGCTTATATTTTTAAGTATATCTGGAATATGTTTACTTCTCTTTTTCTCTACTTCCACTCCCCTAGTTCAAGTTCTCATCAGTTCTTGCCTGAATTTACTGCAACATCTCAAATCCTCTCTGGCCTCACCATAATGTAACTGGAAGATGTGTTCTTAAATATAAACTCAGGGAAATCACTCCCTTATTTGAAACACCGGTGATTCCCCAGTACTCCTAGGATGGTATCTTTATATAGCTTAGTAGGACTTGCATGATCTGACTTGTTTACCCTATCAGTCTCACTTGGAAGATTTTTCTAAAGATTGACATGGTTGTAAGTCAACATATGGTATGTCATGGGTGCTAAATCAATGAAGACTCCTCCACCTCTTGATTGGCCCACACTTTTACAGATATGGAAAATGAGACTCACTGAAGCATAAGTGGCATGCCCTGATTCACATAGCTAGTTAATGACACAGCTGGAGTATTTGAAAACATCTAGTTCAGATCACAGGCAGTTAAAATTCAGGAAAACACTGGCTAAAATTTATCTTTTGTGGATTTCTCAGCCCTGAAGGAAGGAAGGGTGTACTTATAAATAGAGATTTTTTTTTCTTTCCCTAGCTGCATCCCGAAGCAGTAACTTGTTTACTTGTTCTGACTGAATATTTAATATCTGCTTTATTGGTTTATTATGGGATAATTTTTTCCCTTCTTCAAAATAACATAATGATAGCCAAACCACAGTGCGCAAACAAGATCATTAGTAGCTTTGCAAGCCTCTGGACTTTAAGCCCTTCCTGCTCCTCCCTGATAACCGCCCAGCACAGAGCAGGAATGAACTTACATACTAAAGAGCTGCCAGAAGTTTTCAAAAGGAACAGTGAAGTGCAACTGGTTTCCTTAAATAAATGGCTTCTGTTCAAATTTGTCTTTTTATCAGTCCTTTAAAAGCACGTCATGTAAAAGGGCATACATATATATGTCCTATCCCAGATAAGTTCCTCCCCTTGATTATAGTGGGACAGAGTGGGGGGGAGTTGTACTTGGATATGTTTTGTCTTTTTAATATAGGAGTTGGAAAAGACAATTTAAACCATTTTTAGGAATATGTTTGAATTTTTATAAGTATTCTGCTTGTAGAATACATGTTAGAAAGGAAATTGACATCATTCATATGGGTCTGGGTTCTATCTGGGATGCTGCCACATTTTTATATCTAGGCTTCAATCTGAACATACAGCAGGACCTATGAGGCCTGCAAAGCTTACTTAGGGCTTGCCTGGGGAAGAGGATACCCCTCTCCTTTGGCTGATGATGAATTTACCTTCTTTAATTCCAAAGCAATGGCCCCATTCCTTCAAGGTGATGTGCTTATCCTTGTTGGGGTCACACTCCTCAAAGAAGCGAGTTATGCAGTGTTCCATGGGTACAAGAGATGCTCGCAGAAGAGCAAGCTCAGAATGTGTCAAGACTCTGCAATGAAATAAATTAACCTATTAATCGAGTAGCTTGTGTATGAAGATTTAACTCAGAATCAGCAGGAGCATTTTTCTTCCATAAGGTTATTGTGTATGCCAAATAAATAGTATATTGATAAAAGCTGCAAAAGAAATAAACTCTTTGTGGGTCAGGTTGACACCTTTTGGGATGTTGATTCACAAGGTTTCTCTCTTCACTGAGAACTGTCTTCCCTTCACCCTAAATTTATAGGGGTACACCCAGCAATCATGTTTGTACAAACTGGTTCTTACACACTGGCCATACCTGGTTGTTCTGGATATTGGCACTTGACCCAAGTTGGGCCAGTTAGATTATTTTGGGAATTTAGGATCAAGAATGAAAAATGTTGAAGAGCTCTCTGTGGGAAGCTGGACCCTCACATGTAAACTTGGGAGCTGTGGCATAGTCATATTCTGTTTTTTTTCAAAGCAGTTTTGTGTTTAGACTTCATTATGGTGTTTGTTTGGCATTTCAGTGTTCAAAAGTGGAGCTGGAAAATTTCCTAAATCTGTTTAAATTTCTCTTTTGCATAGATATGTAGGCATTCTATCAGAGAGATGACGTAGTAATGGCAAAGTAAAAAGTTTTTACCTATCCATAGGATGTTGGTCAAGTTCACTAAACTGCCAGTGCACAGGATACACATACATGTGGTAGTTTTTCTTAAAGTCCCTTAAGAGAAGGTCAATGGGGTGGTCCCCAGCCAAGAGTCTCTTTTCATCCAGGTAAATTTTCTTGACCTGGGATTAGGAAGGGAGAAGATTATCAGACAATCAGACAAGCATCGTGGAATTGTCACTTGCTAAACTTTACTTGAAGAGTAGCGGTAACGTGATGGGGAAAACAAGCCCAGGACATCATGCACAACCAAATTAAATACCTTAGAATCAATACTATAGTCTTTCTTATGTGTACATAGAATAACAGCTGATATTAAAAAACTATGGTTTTCAGAGAAATTGTCTTTTTCTGATCTTTTCTTTTAAGCATGTAACATTCTCCACATTCCTTAAAACTCTGAGAAGGTTTTGATGAAAAGGGCTGAACGGACTTAGGCAAAATTTTTGATTAGTTAGAGAGAAGCCCTGCTCCTTCCCCCATTGGCGAACTCCATTCTTCATCCTCTATGTGCTCTATCCAGTGCCTGCTCAGTCTCGTTTTAGGCTAGTGTGTTAGCCACACCTGCTGAAATTTCCCTGTTTCATATCTAATGCTCTCAAGGCTCTCTGTGATGATGTATTAAAGAGGGAGGATAGAAGTTATTCTTGAGCAATGCATATGAAACTCTCAGCTTGTGATGTTACCTATTATTTCACTGGGTAATTAGAAGCAGTCAAACAGAGCTTCCACCTGCTGTCATGACCACATCTGCCAACTTCCTTCCCTGTTACCAGTGATGAGCTTGCTCTGTCAAAGCCCAGCTCTCATCTGGTTGGGACACCTACTCAAGAACATACTGGGAGTTATGCACATTCTCTGCTTCTTACTAATTTTTCCTTCTTTACTGGGTAATTTCCAGAAGCATACAAACCTCTTCTACCATCTCCCACTGGCAGGAGGACTCTTGAACTCACTTTCCTCTCCAGGTGCCACCCCATTTCTCTTTACAGCAAAACTTCTTGAAAATATTGTCTATACTTGCTACTTGCCGCTTCCACATTCTTCCTCCTATTCTTGCTTGAACCTAGTCAGCCTTCCCTCTCGCGGGACCCACCTTCTGAGACGCTCCTGTCAAGTCTAACTCTGACTGTCACATGCACAATCAGCAGCCAACTCTCAGTCCTCATCTTACAACCTACAAACAACATTTGACACTATTCATGCACACTTTCCTTGTTTTATTTTTCTTCATAGTTTTTCATCCCATCAAACATATCTTATACATGTATTTGCTGATTTGATTATATTTTTATAAATTGTTATTTGCATATATTTATATATTTGCTTGTTTATATATTTGCATGTGTGTGTACACATATGTACACATATATACACGTGCACACACACATTTGTTTAGAGTCTGTCTTTTCCCCTAGAATGTAAGCTTGTGAAGGCAGAGATTTTGTTTGGTTTATTGCTGTGTTTTCAGTACTTAGATAATTCCTGGTACCTAGGATACACTTGAAACTACCTGATGAATGAATTTTCTCTGGAGGCTTTTGGAATCAATATTCTGCACTTTTTAATCTTATCACTGACATTATGAGCAATGGATTTCCCTTATATCATACATATGTGTCTGGCCTATGAAGGCAAAAATGTTTAAATTTAAATAACATGTTTGGGCCTGACTATATAAATGCCGAATTTATGTTCACTTTGCTCAACCGAGCTTGCTCTAGGTATGAGTTAAAGAGCCCTTATTCAGGCCACTGCCCTTTGGGTAAGAATAGGGCAGTTTGGTAGTGTTCCAAACCTTGTGGCATGAATGGTGACCACTACTGTTCTGTTAATCCATGTGGGCTAACCAGACATGCGGTGGCAGAGTGGTCTTCTGCCACAGTGCAGACGTAGGCAGCCCCCACCACACCTTTCTTTCTCTGGCCCTGTAGACAGACACTTAGGTAGCTGACCCATGGATCACTCACTTTATTTCTCTGCTTCTCATTTAGGTATCCAGCATGTTCAGGGTTAGGTTCATAAAGCTGCACGAGGATATTCTTGAGCCAGTCTCTCATCCGTAGAGGAAACTGAGTCACTTCAAAGTCCGTACAAGCAGGAATAGCTGTTACAAGCAGAAAATATATTGTAATCTTTGGGCTTTATTCCTGTTCTATGGCAAGTCCTCATAACAGGAAGCTTAATAACTTCTGGTGACTGGCAGACCATCCTCACTGCTGCATTATTACAACAGTGGTCCTTAACCCTGGCAGCACAATTAAATTGCCTGGATTGTTTTAAAAACATACCAAATATTGTCTTCCATTCAAAGAAATTTTGATTTGATTGGTCTGGGGTGACGCCTGGGCATCAGGATGTTTTAAAAGCTCCAAAACTAATTTTGTTGTAGTTGGGGCTGAGAACCATTGCTGTAGAACCTGAGGGTTAGAATTTACAGATAGAGAGCACAAGAGCTATTTATCAGAGGAAAAGAGGACAAGGTAGAGGTTAGCTTATACTATGGTAATAAATAATGATAAATCTCAGTGGCTTAAAAAGCAAAAGTTTATTTCTCGATCTTGCTACAAGTCCAATACTGTATGAGTTGGCAGGAGGGCTCTGCTCATTGCCGGCTCCCTGGGGCTTGGGATGATGGAGACTCCACCATGTTTTGAGGCGCCATCTCCATACAAGGCTTCAGGGTTTGTGGTGGCAAGGGAAGAGAGCATGGAGAACCACAAACCAGCTCTAAAGGCTTCTGCCCAGAACTCACAGGGATGATTTTTGCTCACATTTCGTATGGCAAGTCATATGGCCACACCTAACATCAAGGGAGCTTACAAATTTAATCCTCTGTGTGCACAGAAGGAGAGAACTGGAAATATTAGTGAGCACTGCTATGTGTGGAGAATCACTTAGTGATAAGAGGAGCCAAATACAGTTGAGAGCATCCTGGGGAAGGAAGAAAATTTTTAAAAACTTCTGGAAGACTGTGTTGTCATAAAACTTCTTGGAAAAGGCTTAACTTAAATTGGGAAGAGGGCAGATAATTTAGCAAAATTTCAGTGATTCATCTCTTTTATTAAGTGGATAACATTATCATAGTAGTTCTGAGCCCTGGCCACACATTGGAATTGTCTAGGTTACTTTAAAAACAAGTGAAAAAACAATGACAGGGTTCCAGCCCACTCAAATTCAATCAGAATCTCCTATGGTTAAGGTCTGGGATTTATTCTTTATATTTTTTGTCTCTCCAGTTGATTTTAATGTGCAGCCTGAGTTCAGACTATGTTAGCTTTATCCTGTTTGTGTGTATATAATTAAAGCATGTACATATTCACCCAACAACTTCTCAGAAATGATGGTTCAGAGTAGTAATGGAATCTTACACTTGCAGGCTCCAAAATAATCCAGCTGCAGTTGGTGCCCCTTTTTGGTCCCCTCCAGTCTGCACTTAGTAGCAAACAGATGACAAGAGCTAGCATAGGTCTGGTTGTCAGTGCCACAAACCTAGGAAAAATAAGCAAGAGAAAAAGCTGATAGAGCCAAATGCTCCCTGGAAAACACTCTGCTCCTTAAAGCTCATAGGCTGTCTGATAAACTTTGCTGTGACAAAGGTGTGAGCAGGTATGTAAGACTATTAAAGTCATAATTCTTCCATATGGTACACACAAAAAATCAACTAAGCTATACCAATGGTGATGACAATTTAGCCTAGATAAGCTCAATAGAATGAAAACTGCAGATGTTCCAAGGATAGAATGAATTTTAAAATGAGTCTTAACAGCTCAAATGCCATCACTACCTTTTTATGGCACAGTTGAAATTCTTTTATTTTGCTGGCATTTGTTCCTGTTCAACATTACTTCAAATATTACTTCAAATATTGGAGGATAACCTGCACATCTACCTTTTTTTAACAAAAAATTTTAATGGCCAACTATTTTTATTCAAATCACTAAACCTTTGATGTCTCTTAAAGACTATTTTGTAGAATACTTACTTGATCAAGGAGTTTTGTTGGAGGACAAGTCACTGGATCTTGGCAAACACAGCGAGGTTTTCCCTGTAGGTCTACCTTACAGGTGAGCCCCTTTTTACACTGGAAGGTCATGCAAGAATCTAACAGAAAAGTTTGGACAGGAAACATGGACAAAGCTAAATTAAGTATGTAAATGCAGATTCATCCAAACAATTAGCTTCATCTTCTTTAGTAAGGGAGAAATTTTGAAACTCGTTAAATTTGAAAATTTGAAAGTGGGAAAACATTAGAAACTGCTTTAACTAATGTGTTAATTTCCGGATGAAACACCCTGACATCAGATTATTTTACAGCTATAAAACCATCAGCCCTTCTTGGCCTGCCTGAGATGGTTATAGTCTGAAGTTGGTCAGAAGTTAAATAAGCTGTGAGAATTTCATTGGAAATTCAAAATGTCTGTGACTGGGGTAGGAGTTAGGCCCTTAATTATGGGATCTAAATTCACAAGTAATGGGCCGGCCCGGTGGTGCACTGTGCTAGTGCGCCGCTTGGGAAGCGCGGTTGCGCTCCCGCCGAGGGTTCGGATCCCACATACAGACCGGTTCCCGCTCACTGGCTGAGCGAGGCGCGGGGGCAACGCCGAGGGTTGCGATCCCGTTGCCGGTCCCGGTCCGGTACGGGGGCGACACTGAGGGTTGCGATCTGTTGCCGGACACGGAAAAAAAAAAAGACAAAAAAAAAAAAATAAAATAAATAAACAAATAAATAAATAAATTCACAAGTAAATTGTGGATTTGAGAATAAAAAAAGTAGAACTAATTCTTTTCAGAGGCAAAAGGATTTAGGGAAAAAGAATTCTAGCTTTTACACTCATATCTCAATAGGACTTCCAATTTGTAAACACATTTACCCATAGTTGTATATCAAATATGCACAAGAAAATGTCAACAACTTATGGGAGCATTTCCTTGGGGAGGAATGGGGAGAGGAAAAATTCTGTGCAGCAGTCATAAAGGGAAGGTAGAGACAAGCCTGAAGTGGCAGATTCCATCTCTTCCTTGATACAGTCACAAACAGCTTGTTTAGCATATACTCGCCAATACCGTGCACTCTCATGTTGCCTTCACTTGAAGTTTCATGTTCATTGGATGAGCTCTCTGCTTTCTTGGCCTTTAAAATAACAAGAGCAAAGGTTTAAATTTAGTCATGGAAAGGCAGTTACTTAATTTTTATTCCCACTGTGCATACCTTCACAGCATTTTTCGTGCCCAAATCATTTCAGATCTCAAAAACAGAAACCAGGTGCAACTGCAAAGGTAGACTGGAATCCTTGGCAAACAGGACCCATTTCTACCTTCATCAACTGGATTCAGTCCTGTATCTCAGGTGATTACTCAATGAGAGTTGGAATCTCCCCTTTGGATTTGAGAAAACACTATAAATGTAATATTATCTTGTGATGCTGTAGTTAAGACAGAGTTACATGAGTAATCTCTACGAAGTTGTTGGTGAAGCTTTCTTAGCAGGTTTTTAAAGTGTAAGAAAACTCCTACCTGAACAGCAGCAGAGTTCTCAGTGATTGAGGTTAATATTAACCTTGCTCCCAAAAGCTGTGCCAAGTCCTCCTGATGGGTGGCTGCCAGGGTTTTGCACGAAAGCTCCAAATGATTAAACAACCAGATAGCAATATTCTTCCCCCTGCTCCCACCCCACTGCAGTTTCCAGATTATAATTTTGGCGTGTGTTTGCTTAATAAAGTAGTACATTAATCTTTGTAACTAATTTAGCAAACATTGCTGGATCTCTTACTATGTCAGAGGCATTTTGGTAGATACTGGTGGTTCAGCTTGAATATAGCATGGCACCTGGTTTCAAGGCATTAGAGCAGCAATGGTTAGTGTCTCCCATTCTTCAGATCTGTCAGAATTTATCATTCCAGCTAGCTCCAGGGACTTTCAACTGCCAGTATTTACATTTCTGTGCCTGGAAAACCATGAAAATCTGCCTGGCCTGATCAAAAGACAGACTGGAAGTGCTGGGAAATTAATATCTTCCTAGCAACCATCAGCCAAAATAAATGTCCTAGCTCCTTCACTCCCCAAATGGAATAATTCTGAAGAATACTATTTACATGACTTTAATGATGTTCCTTTTATTAGCTTTCTTTCCTTCTCTGTATCACTTCTCCACTCCTCTCTTTGTTCTCTGCACTTCTTAAACAGCACTCAAATCCAGGATCTACTTCTAGAGGAACCCAAATAAAACAGGCATTCCCAGCCTAATGATGGAGATGGAGAGAAAAATAAATAATTGTGATATATTTTAGTAATGTACTAATAGAGATACACAGAGGAGACTGTGAGAGCACAGAGAAAGGTCATGGCTGCTTATCGATAATGCTAACATTATTGGATAAGCATCATTGTAAATAATCTCACCCCTTGGGATTCTCCAGGTTCATTGGTATCAACGCTTTCATTTTCATGAGCTCTTTCTCTTTGCTCATCGTTTTTGATGTGGTAGTAATTCGATTGAGCTCTTTCACTTTCCACAAAGTCCTGGCTTGGCACGAAGTCGTCATCACTTGCACTGTGCCTGGGGCCATCATCACCCCCATCATCAGCACCTCCATGATTTCTGGGCATGATGTTACTGTCATTGGTAGGTTCCCTGAGCAAAGCCTTAGAAACAGTTTTTTTATCTATTTCCTCATGGTTGCTGATAACTTCAGGGCCAGTTTTTCCCTCTTGGCTCTGCCATTTGGTCTCTTGAATGTGCTTATTGATGCTTGATGCATTTTCCTCTTCCATTTTTGCATTGGAGTTATCCTCTTCTTGTTCTTGGTTACCCTGCTCAAAGTCATCCCGCATCTTGCTTACTTGAGTTGGTTGATTGAACTCTTCCAAAATACCAGATGGGGTAATGTCTTCCTCCTGCTGGCTGTTAGAATGCTCCTTGGGATATTCTCTCTCCTTTTCTTGGCTATCATTGTGGGTACCAACTTCACCTGGATCATCTTCTTCTTCTTTTTCTCTATTGAGAATATTTGGTTCCTGCTCTTGGTTTACTTGACCCCTTAGGTCTTGGCTATGTTTACTGCTCTTATTCAACTGATGATGTGAATCGTTTATAGGTTGTTCTTGGTTTTCCTCTCTCTTTGTGACACTTTCTTCTTGGTTAGAATCCACAAAGGAACTAACATCAGAAGCAAGGAGATCAATGTTCTCTGGGAGTTTTTTCTTTTGAGGCTCACTTATCTCTTCTTTTAGGTCCAATGTACCTTCAGTTGGTGTATTCTCCAAATTTACACTTAAGTCACCATCGCTGTCCTCCTGATCTTTCAATCCCACCTCTTGGCTGTAACTCTTGTCCTGTTCTGGTGACTGTTCATGGTTTTCCTCTTTTGACTTTAGTATTGAAGATTTTTCAGCCTTAAAAGAAAAAAAGTTTATTCTTTAAAAAAATGATAATGTAATCATATTTTATAATTCCTAAGCCAAACTTAAATATTCATTATTCTTTTTCTTCATACATATCATGTAAATGCCCCAGGTTTAGCCTGAACTTGAATTTTGTAAAGTGAAACAATGATATAGCCCTTCGCCCATGTTAATGAACAGTAAAATTCATTAACCATCACAGTTCTTCTAATGACTGTAGGCAGTTGATGTGATCATCATGTTTAGAGAAATTAAACTGAGACATGAATAGGGTAATCTCTTTGGCCATGCTTTGAAACTGAGAACTTTGGAGAATTAAAAAATTGTATTAATATAATGATGTTACTTTTACCTTATGGTTGGGATAATCTTCTATGGATGCTACAGTTTCCTTTTCATTTTCTGCATCTTCAGCTCTTAAAATGGGGATTGCAGTGTTGTCGGATGTTCCCAATGTTTCAGCAGTTGGTTTGGAATAATCAGATAAGAACCCTGCATTTGTCTGAAAAAATTAAAAACTGGTTTGTGTTATTTATGTCTAGATGCTAATTTTAAAAATTGCTAGCTACTCTTTTGTTGTCATCATTATTAGGAGCAATATACTTCACTCATAACATCAGTTAAAAGATATTCTCTAGAGTTTTTGAGGATACAAGCAAATGACCAGAATATAATGTACAGTGAAAGCAGAATCCCAATCATGTTTAATAAAAAGTTGTATATGCAGAGACTGGGGGAAAATACAGCAGGAAAGATTTCAAAAATGGTGATCTTTGAGTTTTAAAATTATTTTCTGTGTTTTTCAAATTTTGCAAAGCATTTGTACTTTAGAATTTTGTAGTATTGTTTAGCAGAAAGAAGGCTGAAGTCAAATAAAAATATTCTCAGAATATAGCATGTACATTTTTAAAATTTGACATTTAACTACTTGCTGATAATTAGCAGAAAACATTATAAAACTTTTATTCATTTGCTTTCTTAATAGTACTGGCCTTCACATTGACTAGACAATCTTTTAATAAAAAGCAATTTAATCTTTGAACTAATTCAAAGACTATTCAAAACAGGGCACCAAACACAGTAGGAAGGGTAGCTATGGAGTATTATTTCTATTAGAGGATGTCTCTATTTCTAGCAAGATTGGAGTCATAGATGAAGAGCTGGGCAGTAATACATGATGAGAAGCTGAACAACTGGATTCAGAGGTAAGAGGCCTTCCTTCAAGTCTTGACTCTGCTACTTACTTTCTATCAGTGGTTTGACAAGTTGTTAATTTCTACCCTTCCATCTCTCAAGGTGAAGTGAGCAGTAATATCAAGACAAAGTTATATATATACACTATTTCATAAATTTTAAGGAGTTACCCCAGTTAAAATTACTATTATGATAGTAATATCATATAGTGGAAATAAATGGACTGTCCAATATCTGAGGCAGGTATTCACCGTAGATCTTTATTATAGAGATGTGATGGACACGCAGATGGCAGACATATCCAGGCGTAAGTATACAACTCAGATTCTACTGGATTGATTCATTTTTACTCCATTAACAGATCCTGTAGTGCTGATTGTGCAATGTACAAAAAGCTATGGAGTACAGAATTTATTTTAGATTTGGTTTGCTCTCTTGCTTCCTATCTCCTTTTTAACTAACTTTGGTGAGTTGCTGACAGGGGCATCATGGGAGGCAATGGATGGGTGGATTTTAAGCTTATTAGAGGATAACTGCTCTTCCTCTCTGCTCTCCTCCTCCTCAACTCCTCCAACCCCACAAGCAGCAAGAAATACACAAAAAAACTGGCAGCTTATCTTCTTTCAGAAATATTCTGAACTTGAAATTCTGTTTTATGATTATGCCCGCATGTATATTTATTTAACATGCCTTCTGGAAATTCAATTGTAATCTCCCAACAACACAGAATCCACTTAACTTCTAGAGAATTCAGGCAGGTGAGGAAAGTGATACAGGATTTTAAACAGGTCAATTCTGTGAGAAGAAATTTAGTTTTTTAGCATGTGGCTGGGTTTGCATATAACAAATTGTCTTAGAGAGGAAATACCTGGAATGTGTGTCTGTATATAGGCACGTCATTCAAACATTTGGTTCAAAGACACTTTTGATGCCCATTTACGTAGCAGCAACCACTGCAAGGGCAAAACACATTTTCAGGAGAAAACAATGGTTCTGTGGGAGCTCCTTTCTGTGTTGAACTTTAATTTGTCCCACTTTTGTAATTTCAGAGTATGATGTATAATTTCAGTTGGAGTAGCTCCAGATTTAAGCAATTCCTAGTAGTAGTCATAAATTCTGTTTTCTAGGAGCTGCTTGGTTTGGGTGGTGTGGAGCTTGTTTTTGCTTTCTTAGCTGTCAAGCAGAAGCTAGCCACCAGTTATCAGAGAAGCAAGGACAGAATCTTAGACCTAGAAGGTAAGGGACGGAAGGGACAATAGAGAAATTGCTTTGCCTATTTAGAGAAGGCTGATTCCTCTATTTGGTGAAAGAGGAAAAAAAAAAAAAAGTCACAAGTCCTTTGGTTTAATTAAGGATGATACAGATCATTTATGGGATATCCAAAATGATCATACAAGCCATGGTTCCATTTTTTTTTTTTAAACTTTTAAGTTGCTTTGAGGCTGCTGACATGGTCTCAAATGATCTGATTTGTGTATGGCTGCTCTATTGCTGTGTGAATGGTGGGGTCAGTTTACCTGACCTTGAAGAAGAGAGTGTTCTAGTCCTGTCTACTTTCCACGTATTTGCTCGGACAACCCCCCAAGGATGAGTTAGGAGCCAAATTGTGATTACCATATCATTTCCTCCCCCTCACCCATTGGTTCCAGTGTTTTTTATAGACTCTGAATTTCTCAGCCAGTATCTGATCTTGAAGAAAATCCTGCTGGGGAGTGTGGATATGCACTCCAAGTTAAATTCTTAGATTTCTCATACTGATGTGATGAGCCTCTGAAGGATAATTTATTTCTTCCTGTCCATTTGGTATTTGGGTACATTCTGTGGCTAATAAACTGATAGCTGACACTTTCAGATGCATATTTATTGCAACTTGTGTAACCTGATAGTTCTGAAAAAAATACATTTACAAGAAGTAACTTATTCTGGTTTCTTCTACTCATCCATTCTCTGCTCGGGCAATAAAGAATGTAATTAAAATAAAAAAAGATCATTTCAATCGCTCTATAAGTGGTTAAAATATATAAGAACATTTTCTTTTAAATAGAGGATTTCCAAACTAAATGTCAGGAAGGACAGATGGAACATCAGAAGAAAGGAAATTTACCGGGATTGCAGCTGCAGTTCCCAAAAAGAATAGGAAAAGCAGCACAGTCTTCATACTTTTTAGACCTGTGAACCAAAGAGATAATTATCAGTGGTGGGTAAAAGTTTCCTTGTAAAAGATTAAAAGATAATTTTAGCAAATACTGAGCTTGATATTGTTTTCTATATTTAAAGGTGATTGTTTTTGTTGACTACCATATCTGAAAAGACAGATTAATGACAGTTCTTACCCAAATGTGTCCCTGTGAAAATTGATTTTTTTTTTTTTGGCCCCGCTGTGTTTGGCAGAACCTATCTCCCTTTCATGACCGCGCTGCTTTGAGTAAAGGCTCTACACAGATCTTGGGTCTTAAGATTTGTGAATATTCATAGTGAAGATAAAAGTCACAAAATGAAGTAATATGGTATGTCAGGTTTGGTAGGCTCTGTGCATTTTAAACCAGCATTTTAAAACCCAGATTTCCTGTTTCTCTTGAACCATCTGTGCCTCTTAGCAACAATGGGCCTTTGTGACAACAGTCGGCTAGATCTGAGTGAAGGCTTATCCTCTGTAAGGGATGCTGGCATTTATACTTGGTCCATCTCACTTTGTTATTCACTTTTCATTTGAATTTAGTTAGTTCCAAACAAATTTTTTAAGTTCAGAAATGAGACAAGTGAGGTTCAAACAGGCTAAGTAAGTTGCCCTTTGGGAGAACTCTGGGTCCAAGACATTTCCTTCCACACCAATTATATAATTATGGTTTCTAAAAGTAGTCAGGTGCTTGTATTTTTTTGCAGGGTATCACTGGAAGTCTGAACTCTGGGATTAGGGATACAGTTTTTAGTCTTTAATAGAGTTTTTATGACTCTCTCAGAAATAGTGGATGACTTCTTTAAGTTATTTTTTTGTAATCAAAATTTTATTCTTAAGAGGGTACTTCAAAAGGTTCATGGAAAGATTTATATTGGCCCTCCACAAACTTTTTGAAGTACCCTTTTATATGTATCTACCAAACTTTACATAAGACTCTGAGGCTTATAAAGAAAGTGAGCAGTTTCCTTTGCTACTTACCTCAATATTTCTAGATAACATGCTCAAACAGGTGTGTTTTTTTTGTTTTTGTTTTTGTCTTTTTCGTGACCGGTAAGGGGATCACAACCCTTGGTGTGGTGTCACCCACACTGCGCCAGTGAGTGCACTGGCCATTCCTATATAGGATCGGAACTCGCGGCGGGAGCGTCGCTGCGCTCCCGGCGCTACACTCTCCCCAGTGTGCCACGGGGCCGGCCCTCAAACAGATATTTTAAAATATATGAATATTTTAAGAGTATTATTATTATCGATTATTAATAGGGTATGTTAAAGATTGCTCTATTGGTTTAATACTGCAACAGCCACCACTTCACACACACACACACACACACACACACACACACACACACACACACGACACACACACACAACACACACATACACTTCTCCTCTTTCCCTTCCTCTTTTCCTAAAATAATTTTATCACAATTCTTGTTTAAATTCTTATTTAACATTCATGACAATGTAAATATTCTTTATAACTGAGCCAAGTAGTAATTTCCTATGTTGAATCATAATTAAATTTCTTTTCTTGAGCAATATTTTTTGGGGGGGCCTAGACCTAGAAATTACCTCCTTTTCTAAGTTTTTTATATACTTTTCCTTGTACCCATCACTTACTCTTCCTAAATTCTCCAATGAAATTTTAAAATTCCTCTTAATATGTTAACAATGACAACAACAAAACAACATCAGCTATAATACTGCAACAGCCACCACTTCACACACACACACACACACACACACACACACACACACACACACACGACACACACACACAACACACACATACACTTCTCCTCTTTCCCTTCCTCTTTTCCTAAAATAATTTTATCACAATTCTTGTTTAAATTCTTATTTAACATTCATGACAATGTAAATATTCTTTATAACTGAGCCAAGTAGTAATTTCCTATGTTGAATCATAATTAAATTTCTTTTCTTGAGCAATATTTTTTGGGGGGGCCTAGACCTAGAAATTACCTCCTTTTCTAAGTTTTTTATATACTTTTCCTTGTACCCATCACTTACTCTTCCTAAATTCTCCAATGAAATTTTAAAATTCCTCTTAATATGTTAACAATGACAACAACAAAACAAGATCAGCTACCCCTTTTTGTCTTTTTTCGTGTCTGGCAACGGATCGCAACCCTCAGTGTCGCGCCTGCACCGGACCGGGACCGGCAATGGGATCGCAACCCTCGGTGCCGCGCCTGCACCTCGCTCAGCCAGTGAGTGGGAACCGGTCTGTGTGTGGGATCCGAACCCTCGGCGGGAGCACCGCCGTGCTCCCAAGCGGCGCACTGTAGCAGTGCGCCACCGGGCCGGCCCCTCAGCTACCCCTTAAGGAAACCCCTTGGTTCCATTTTTCCTTTCGGGGATGTCACTTTTAGAGCCTCGGTTTTCTTGCTCCCTTTGGACTGGTGGACCCCAGGCTGCTGTACTCTTTTCTCCTGGGATCTTTATTCACCACTTCCTTGGCCTTTGCATTTTTCTTGTGCTTGATTTCTTGCTTTTTGGGCCCCCTATTTTTCTCTCCTGGTTTTCTCCCTCATTTTGATGGAGCACATTCTCTGGAAGCTTCCTGAGAAATGGTGTACAGGAAACAAAATGATGAAAGGCCATGTGGAGAGGACCCTGGAGGATGAGATCATCTTTGATGTGCTCACAGCTCACTGAAGCCACATGGGTGACTCCAGACAAAATCAGCAGAAGAACCACACAGTTGAGCCCAATAATTGTAGAATCATGAAGAAATAAAGGGATATGCTTTTGAGCCATGTAATTTTGGGGTGAATTGTTATACAGCAATAGGTAACTGAAATACGAGAAACTAGACAAGGTCCTTGAGCCATTGGCAAGACAGTATTGATCTAATTTTAAAATGTAAGGTGAAGGTTTAACTTTGAAGAGAAGGAGGGATTCCTTAGACAAGAAGGAAGAAAGATTAATTGTAAGGATGTGTTGAGGCAGGGCACAGGAATATCAATTCATTAAGATGGACTTAGTTATGCCTTTCTTATATTTATATAGCATTTCACAATTTATAAAGTGTTTTCCTGTATAATGTCTCATTTGATTCAATGAGGAAAGGAGGGTAGATAATAACTGAATATAAAGAAAAAGAAGATCAAAGAATCTATTATTTGGCCAAATGTGCAAGGCTTAGGAAAAATTAAGCTCGAATTAGAGAGCTGAGCTTTCAACTCAGTGTCCTGTGTTCTCACAACACAGCCTGTTGGAACAAGCTACATACTAGAAGCCAGAAGCTCTGGCTTCAGGCCCTTTATCTGCCAAGTACTAAATGCTACCTGAGCAAATTACTTAATCTCTCCAAACTTCATCTACTGAATGGGAATAACAATTTCTATGAATGTCAAAGGGAGCCACTGGGAAACTCTTTGCAAACTCTGAAGTGCCATACACATGTAAGTGATTATTATTTCCATGCTCTGCCTGCTGCCTCTCACCAATATTATCACTATAGCCATTTATGGCTTGTATTAAGTTTTAAATAAGGGAAATAAAAATTGTCTTGTATTAAATATGGTGTAAGAAAAAAGAACCTTATTTTTTTGCCCCCCTCCTTCCACACCTTCTTCCCCTAGGTGATTTCAAGCTGCCCAGAGTCCTAGTTCCAAAACATATTTACATTTAGTTCACTCATGAGAAACAAATTCATCTGTCCTATATTCAATACATTTAAATCCTAGTTTTTTATTTTTTAAAATGCATCTAATTCATACTTAAGTGATAAGAATATTCTTGAGTTAATATCTTTCTATTCTCAGGTAAGAGGTATTTTCACAATGGTCTTAACCCAAAAGAGCTATTGGAATGCTGAGAAGCCTGGCATAGCTGTAGGGAAGACATTTTAAGGCATAGGACAAGTAGACAGTTTGTCATATAACTTTAGGTAGCTAGTTGTACAGGCTCGCCATTTCCTATGTGATTGTTTACTGTGTCCAAGGATGGAACTATTTTTCAGGAGTCTCATGTTTATTTCCATTCTGAAATTGAAAAAAAAAAAAATTAAAGATAGAACATAACTATGTCATTTAGAATGATTCAAGCAGGAAAATGCCTGTGTTATGTTTTCAAAGGACTCTGTGAACAATCCAATATCTAGAATTCAGAAGGCCTGGAGTTCTGTTGTGTTCACTTTGTCCTTCAGACCAGTCACTGTGCATTTTTGTCTCATGGAACTAATTATATTTGCCACATGTTGATCAAAACAATTTCATGGCCTTTAGCTTCTTATTTTAAGAACTGAACAAATGTGCTGATTTGAATAAGTAAGACAGAGTGGAGAACTTTCCTGGGAAATGAGAGATATTTTGAAAACAACTGTCATACTGAAAACTCAGGGAAGCTTAATTAGCTGATGCTTGCAAAGTACTTTGACAATAAAATTCATGATGTCCTTACTAAGTATGATGAATGCCATTTATTTTTGGATAAGTAAAAAGTCATTTATTTTGAGATATTCAAATTTGGTGTGCACTTGCTACAAAAATGCAGATTATTTTTTCAGAAAGAAAATAAAACTCTAAATGAAAAAATGTAGAAATGAGACAATTTTATGAATACACAGGGTTATTATTCTTGAACACTTAAATATGCAGTATTGATGTACAAGTAGAGAAATATTATTCTGCCCAAATGTGTGAGCTTATTTAGAGGCAGCAGCACAGTTTAAAGAACACTTGCATGGAATTGGAAGATCCAAGTCCCAGACTTGAACTTCCTTTTACCAGCCAAGAGACTGGTCAAGTCACAGGTTTATTCATCTACAAAACAGGAAAAATAATACTACCTTTCTCATTTATCTTCTAGAGTTGTTTTGAGACTCAAATGTGATTATGTAGTCATTTGGTAATTTCACCAGCTATAAAAATGAAATGAAAGATGTTATCATTTCTTTAAACACTTTTAAGGCAGAAAATGGCTTACTAATCTCAGTAATTAATAATTAGCAGATACTTTAATTCATTCCCTCATTTAGAGTCCTTAAGGTATTTCTTTCTTTACTTCATACTACTGTTTCTTTACATGGATTTAGAAGGGTTAACTTCTTTAAACACTTTTAAGGCAGAAAATGGCTTACTAATCTCAGTAATTAATAATTAGCAGAGACTTTAATTCATTCCCTCATTTAGAGTCCTTAAGGTATTTCTTTCTTTACTTCATACTACTGTTTCTTTACATGGATTTAGAAGGGTTAACGATGAAGGGTGATTAGAAGCCTCAAGGAGAGATTTTCATTCTGTTAGGAACAGGGTGTCTCATTACCAAACTTTCAAGACAACTTTATCTGGAATTTTAGAAGATGACAGCTAGATTGCATTTTACAGGTATGGTCTTTCTGGGGAAATCTAGCATTTGGAATCTCAAATGTCTAGAGTTCTTCTATTGGCTGGTCCATGTACCATTAAAACACATATTCAGATGAATCATTGGGGTGGCAGAAATAGATCTCCCATTAAGAATCAAACATTCACAAATGTGAATTCCATTCTAAGTAGCATGGGTAGCTGTCTTGAGACAATTTCTTACATTTCTCATTTAATATGTGTAAATACTGTGGTAAAGGCTATAAATTCTTTGTTATTTTTATCATTGAGAGGTAGAGTCTACTTCTCTCTTTGAGTATGGACTGGTTTTAGTGACTTACTTTGACCAACTGATTGAGGTAGAAGTGATGTTCTGGGACTTCTGGGTCTATGTCATAAAAAGTCTTGGGGTTTTTACCTGGATCTTTTTATACTGGTTTTGGGATTCCCAAGTCACATTGTAAGAGACTGTCATGCCACAGAAGACACTGTTCAACAGTCCCTGCCAATCCCAGATTCCATCTGTCCTTGCAAAGGCACAGGACATGTGATTGGAGCCATCTTGGACATTCCAGACCAACTCATCTGCCAGCTGAATATCTCTGAGTGACCTGCCCAAATTCCTGACCCACAAAATCTTGAGACATCATGAAACAGTGTTTGTTTTAAGTCACTAAATTTGTAAGTAGCAGTAGATAATTGAAATAAAATTAAATACTTTTGCGTGGAATAGCATTCAAGTAGATTCATTTGAGTAGTAGTAGTAGAATCACTTATGATCATTAAAGTACTATTTTATCAAAAAAGTACATTTTTTAATTGACCATTCAATAGTAGTTAATACAATGGCTTATACTTTTTGAGATTTTACTATATGCCAGGTAGTATGCTAAGCACTTCATCTATGTACCACGTATGCATTCCCATTGTGACCTCACCTCCGTTTTACAGAAGTATCCATCCAATGAGAGTTTTCTGAACATCCCTCTTGGCCACCATGCCTAGTCATGACTGAGGAGCATGGAAGCCAAAGGACATCCAAAGGGATGGCTTTTCAGGCACATTCTCAAAGCTCTATTTCTCTTACTCAGGAGAAATTAGAACATTCCCCCTCTTCTATAGTGTGTAATTGAGGGATTACTTTAATTATATTTGCAGGCTCCCCACAGACTTATCTTAGGCAAGACTGTGTGATAGCCACCTTTCCACACCTCTTCATCATTCCTTTCAGAGTTACTCATCTTACTGTAGCACACACTAATCTCACTGTGTCTCATTCCAGAACTCCACAGGGCATGGATCCATGTAGGCAGTTTTCTGTTCTTTTCCTCAAGCATTTGCCTGCCCTTTACAAGGTCTTCACCTTTCCTTGTTCCATGAGGTAGTGGGAGAAATTATTTTGATCATATTTATTTTTCTTTGCTCAAGTCCTATTATAAATATCTGTCCTTCTATTTCCTTTTTCTCTGTGAATTCAGGGTTTTCTCATATTGGCATTTATTTATCCCCCTCACACTATTTTATGCATTTTCTTTGGGGTACATTATGGTCAGAATAGATGTACCACAAAACTAAGAAGGTAAAGTTTCAGGACCCCTCACTTGCACAGGCTTCATACAAAGTCCTGTACCTGATTTTGACTTTTCTATTTTTTAAAAAGAAGGCCCAGCACATTTGTATGAACTCCTGGCTTCACAAATCCTGAATCTACTCCTAAGTATGGCTCACCTGAAGGTGCGTGGCATTCGTAATGTTGCAGGACTTAGTATTAGAAAGATTTGCTACATGTTGTTAATAGTATGACAATTTACCTTCTGAAGCCTAGCCCTTAAAATGATCAGATAGATTAATCCTATTCTTTTTCTGCCTCTAGCTCTTTTCTCTACCGCTTAATTAATTTTATTCTCTACCTTCTCAGAATTTCTTTCTCTCGAATGCCTGGTTCTTGGCTTTCTCTTCTGACTGCTCTTATTTGAATTTCCCTTATTGGTTAAATTCTCTGAGTATAATATAAGATCTCTTTGGATTCAGTGGAAATTGTCTCTCTTTTGTTAATAGAGTAAGTCAGTTGTTAAATTCGCGAGTTGGCAGAGGAATTTCAAGTGCTTTTGGCTCTGTAAATGGGCCAAGAGTTATTCACTGGGAGTAGTTCTCTTCTAGGATTAAGAAAAACAGCAAATAATACCTAAGAATAGTTCCAAGTAGCCTCATTCTCATGGTGTTGGGACCCTCTGGGGAACAACTGTGTGCTTTGATGAGTATCTAATTCTTGTGTGAACCACTAATGAAAGCACTCGCTCCCAGCAGAAGTCCCTTCAGGATTCAGCACGTGGTCGAAGCTTCTCATGTTGTACCTTGCTGAGGGCCAGTGCATTTAATAGGAGAAACAATTGCTCACCCCAGTGGTGCAGGGTTACTAATTACTTGCCTTCCCTGAAAGAAGTAGATACAATAAACCCTAGCGGATTTTATGGCTGGAATTTGAAAAGCTCTTTAAAAGTATGGTGAAAAACCAAAGCTTATTTATGCCTTCAGAGGAAAAGCTCTAGGAAGATACCCACAGCAAGGAAAGGACACAGCTGTTACATAGTTGGTCCACAGCTGTTAATTCTTCCTCTCCCACTCTGGAAAGAGATTTCGCCCCTGGATATCTAGATATCTTCCATTTGCTCCTTTAAATCCACTTCACATCCACCTCCTCTTCTCTACCCTGAGATGTCCAGGGCTTGTATGAATAGTGTCAACAGGTCCTCTTGCCCAGTGGTTTCTATTGGGTCCGGCCAACTGGGACCAGTGGCAGAAGGGATCTGAGGGAAGGAAGATAGGAGAGTTGGGGTATATGTTTCTTAGCTCCCTCTCTGTGACTGTGTCCCCCTCCTGAAGGTCACAGCCCCTCTCAATGACCCTCTCACTCAGCATTTCCTGTCTGGGCATGGGAAATGTTTCCTCCCTTCATATGTACAAGCTTAGCTCTTATCAGCCTGTTCATACAACCCCTTGTGGCTTCTCTATACTCTGCCCACACCTTGGTAAATAACTCCTTAATTACATCCTCCTCATTTTCTTGGGATCCATCATTTTCTTGTTGGGTCCTTGATCGATACAACCCTTGATTCAAAATTTAGGATTCACAGATTTGAATATTTCCAGATCTCCTGCCAGCAAAGCTGCCTCCTCCCAGTGCCGCCCCATGTTAAGACTTTCTAGAGTTGCCTTAGCTGATGCACATTTCTATTTTAAAATGGAGCATAGGCGTCCTCATCATTGCAGAGAATCAGAAACTACAAGGATTCAAATGTTGTTAGCACCCCACAAAGACGACTTTGCTTATATAATTATAAGATTTAAAGATGCTATGGAATAGAAGAGCTTTAGAAATAAAAAACGGGCAACTAGCCCTGGAAGCATTTTGTGTTGGAAAATAGCATTTTTCACTTTACAGTACTCTCCTTCCCTTTTTTTTCCCATGCAGACTGTAGAAAGTTTTGAAACCAGGATTAATCTAGGGCCTTCGGGAAGCAAATTAGTCCTGTTCTTTCCCCTTCCATTCTAGTCCTTTTCCACACCCAAAATCCAATGCATTAGCTCAGTCTGATAAAAACATTGTTTTTGGGTGGTTAGTCCCATAACATATATAAATTTGCCTAATTAAAGAGTAGTCTAATTAACTGAATCAGAACAAAGTTGTATTTTGGATGAATAACACTATACCTGGGAATCTGTTGTTAATTTTTTTTGGACAGTGACTGTTTTGGGCTGCATGGCACTAAAACGTATACAACACATTCAAGAACTAGGCTATGGATCCCTAGAGCTATTAGGCCTGTTACCAAGGTGCTAGGAAGCAGTGAGGTGTGGGCTGCATGGCACTAAAACGTATACAACACATTCAAGAACTAGGCTATGGATCCCTAGAGATATTAGGCCTGTTACCAAGGTGCTAGGAAGCAGTGAGGTTAATTGGCCACCTTCAGCTGTGACCACAACCTCAGGCCTTACTGTGGCCATCCAAACACATATGATTTGAGAAAAATAAAACAAAGAACCAAACAAAGAACCAAGCATGGGCTGGATTTGTGTGTGTCACCTTGTGGGAAAGAAAAAAAGTTAGTAATATCCAGATCTCAGGCTATAGCAATCTTATACATTCCTACCCAGAGTATTTTCCAAACAATAAGAAAACATTGGGTTTTGAAATCAATCACTTTACGTTGTTTTCATATTACAGGAAGACATCAATCAGATGTTTTTGGCAGTGAGCTGATGCAGGTACATCCCTCTCCTCCCCCATGCCTATCCCCAAAACTACTGAATACAAACTCACTGGGAGTACCAAGGTTTAAACCAAGTTTTTCCAGTTTAAAACAAAGGCTTCTAGTATTTGTCTCTCGCTATATTTTAGGAAATTATTGAAAAGTTTTTCTAGAAAGAGATTAACCTCCACCCCACTATGAGGTCCTCAAAGCCTTCTGTTATGTGCTGGAGTTGGAGGTCAGGGAAGAAAAAGAGAGGAAAAGAAGACACTTGGAGTTCAGCATTTGTGTTTTGTTTCTTTTGAATTCCAACAGCATGCTGCATGGATTTAGAGAGTTAGCTCAAAGTTGTTTGGTCCCCAATAAAAGGTTGGGGGGAATCCATTGAACTATTGGCTTAAGAGTTAAAAAATAATTCCAGTGTGCTAAGAGAGCATGAACATCTGACAAAACAGGGCATCTTGAAACCAGTCCCAGGTTTTCATCGACTTATAACTAGGGTGAGTTCTGATTTTTGTAGATCTCAGCACACCTTTCCACTGGGTTCCTATTATTCTATACAGGCAATTAGGTAACTCAAGTTAAATCAAATATAGCAAAAATGCTTTGCTTTCAAAGCTACTCGAGGGTCACTTTGAATGTGGATTTATTAACTCTGTGGGCAAAGCACTTTTATTTGATTCTAAGATAAACTTTATCTTATCTTTTTTTTTAAAAAAAAGCATTTACCTCTCTCCACCCCACTCATCTTTAATTAAAAATCTAATCAAATATAGCAAAAATGCTTTGCTTTCAAAGCTACTCGAGGGTCACTTTGAATGTGGATTAATTAACTCTGTGGGCAAAGCAATTTTATTTGATTCTAAGATAAACTTTATCTTATCTTTTTTTTTTTAAAAAAGCATTTACCTCTCTCCACCCCACTCATCTTTAATTAAAAATCTTTTAGTTGACTGGATGCATCTCCCAAAAATTTGCTCATTTTTTATTTATAAGCTGCAAATCTGGATTTTATACACATTCAATGGTACACAGTGATTAGGTAGTACTGATAGAGATTTGGGTAGAATGTGGTTAGTAATTTTATTATTTTATTAGTTATAGACTTGTGCCTGGTACTTATAAGCTATGTATTTCCATAAATTACTATTTTGAGAACTGTCTCCATTTATCTCAATTGGGAATTTGGGGTAACCCTTCTCCAAGCCGTGCTGCAGTTTCTTACTATCCATAAGCAAATAGGCTGGCTGAAAGGGTGGCACTCAGCATTAAAGGTGATGGGAGCAGATCATAGAATATTAACCCACATAACCCACGATTTTTTTTTCTTGTTTAACATAGCATTCCAAGTTTAATTAAAAAAGTCATCTTACTGAATACAAAAAAAAAAAAAAAGGTGTGTGTGGAGGGAGTAGGTGTTGGCTCAAAATTTGCTTTGTCCAACTAAGGAATCCTTGAGAAAATCCCCAAACTCCTGGCATCAAATACAATTTTTTTTTCTTTTAATGAGAGTGGAGAGTAGTAATAGATATGACCATTGTTCCTAAGCAAGGTAAGCCAAGGTCACAGCAACCTTTCTGCATAGTTGCTTAAGAGAGAAAGTAGAACACAGGTATATATTCTGCTTGAAGCCCCTTTGTTTAGCTTTTGTATCAGAGGAATTGGCTGTCACCATGGGAAAGCTTATAGTTGGATTTCACCATGAAAGGAAGTTATAATTAGATTTCTCGACAGCTCTATGAGCTCTGTCCCTGGAAAAGTAAGGAAAGGGGCTGTAATATCTTTTTTTCTGGCTGGAAACATATCCCAGCCAAGCCTGCAGAGATGGGCCTGAAGGCATGGGCAGTATGGGCCATGCATGTGCCAGCCACCTCTAGTCGCTGATGGAGCAATGCCAGCTCTGGCCTTCTTAGACTAAGCACATGGACCCTCTAGGTTGAGAGTGGAAAGTTGTGCATGTAATAGCTAAATATTGCTTGGGCATTGCATGTAGTAGAGAACACAGGACAGTCCTCTGACTGAAACCCTCTGACTCATCTCTGTCTGTTTGTCTTGAAATTTCTGTCTCCTAGAGAAGGGGAGAATGTCTAAAGTTTGGCACACCCTAAAACATCATTCTCCATCTGGATCTAGCAGTGAACCTACACAAACAACCAGAATATATTTTGGGTACTGTGGTTCATTTTATCTTCTTTTTTGTAATTGGCTCCATTTCAGTTTCTATAGTATTTTCTAGAAATTTAAATTAGAGTAATGTTAGATCAGAGTAGATATTTGTATTTGATTTCTTTTCTATTCCTACAGTTTGGTAGAACATTAATTTAATTAGTTAATTTAGAACACTAATTTAAATTTAAGTTTAAAAAGATAAATTTGATTTTTGAAGTTGTGCATATTGCCCTGCAACTTAAATCAAGTTAGCACAACCGTCTGTCTCCATGGGGTACCTCTTGCTTGGCTGTACCTCTTCTTTTATGTCCTGTCTCTTTCCTTTTCTTCTAAGCATAACAGGATGTCTGAACACTGAACTAGAGTGTAAACAAAGTCATCCGTACCTCTGAAAGGAGAAACAGGATTCCACCTTTACATTGGCTACACCAACAACTCCTTGGAAATCTTACTGCTTCAGGTTTTCTAACTGGAGTCTCCTCTGTGACTGCGAGGTCCTCAGGTAGCTGCCGGTTCCTTGGCAGCCTCAGCAAAACTTACGAGTCCTCGTCCTTCCCTCCTAGGCCAAGGAAACTTGCTTCAGTGTTTTTGGTTTTCAAGGCAGATGATGACGACTTGATCTGTTTACCTCAGCTTGTCTAAAGCCAAACGAACTGAGAAAGACAGACCATGTACCCTACGAAAAGGAGAGGTTTGTATTGATGGTTTTTCTGTTATTTTCTTCTCTTTATTACTATGGCATATCATTTTCTGGAGTTTGTATATCTACACTTCCAAATAAGGCCAGGTATCTTCTGTTGAATTCGTTTATCAGAGGAAGCCTGTAGGCTGCTATTTTTAGTAATTATTGTAACTATAGAAAAATTTCCTTTCTGGGAAACAAATGATTATTGTAGGTACTTCACAACCAGGTTCAAACAGTACAGTCCCCTTCACCTTGTCTTTACATGATAGTCAAAGGCTTCCTTATGGGAGAGTAAATCCCTTAGTCATATCTTGGCTAACATATACATGCTGTTACCTGATCCAGAGTTAACATTAATCCTTAGGGCTTTTAGAGTATTGGTGAGTCTCTCTGGGGAGAGCTCTGTAGCTTGGTGTTAAAGTCATCTGATGAGGAAAAAGACACTCTTCTATTTTGAGTTCTCCACTGAGTCACCATTGATGCCAACGTTTTCTAGCCCTGTGAGTGTATATGATATACTCAGACTCAATGACAAAGACTATACTGGACCCCTGACCTTCAAATGCCTGTCCTCCATCCTAGTCGAACCTACCTCCATGTGGCTCTGAGCTAGGGATAGTTCACGCCTGTCAGGGCATTGAGTTTAACCAGAATTCCACAGAGATGTTAAAGATATACATTAAACCTGAATCAAGCAGAGGGGACAGGCATTTAGTGCTCAGGGAAGAGAGTTTTATGGGGAGTTGCTTAAGATTTACATCTCCCATGGCTCTGCCCTTGCTCTCAGAGGAGCTGGCTATCTCTCAGTTCCCCAAATAGGCCATGGCCCCTCTTGCTAGAGTCTTTGCACAAGGTGCTCACACTCTCGGAATTCTCTTGCCAGCCCCAACTCCCCCCAGCCACCACCACCAAACACACACACGCACACACACACACACACCCTTCCTCCCCTACAGAGTTAACCTTTATTCAGCCTTCAGATGAGGGAAAGGTATCACTGACTTTGAGCAGAGATCAGGCCCCTTACAAACTTTCTTAGTACAAAGGTGCTTCTCCCTCATAAAAAAATTTAGCATATTATTATATACAATATGTGTTCAAATATAATGTGAATTTCACCCTCCAAAAATCATGCAATAAAGAAGAGGGATTTGCCTTACATTCTTGTGCCTCTCAGGTCTCTCACATTAAAGGCCACTGTCTCAATTACTTTACTTTGAGCAACAAAGTACCATTTAGGAAAATAATGTGAAGTGATCTCAAGCAATGCTTATTTTTGTTCTTAGGAAGGTCACCTTGACAGAATGGACATAAAAGGAGATAAAGATATTTAAAGCAGAGTTAGTCATTATTCTTGAGGTATGACTTCATTATTGCAAGTGTTAGAATTACACAACTTTAGAAAACCACACTTATATTTTCAAGTGGTTTTAAATAAGCCCTTTAGAGAGCACTGGAAAAAGCAATGTAGTAAGTAATTAAAATGTGGAGAGCATCACTGCGGAATGAGGATTTATGCTTGGGAATTAAATTTGCAGTATCAGCAGATTTTTTAAAGGGTGTTATAAACAACTTGCAGAAAGATTGATGATGTGCTGTGTATTAGATAATTACAGAGTGGATCCAGTAAACACACACCCTGATGTTAAACATGAGTATTAAGAATTTTAACAAAATTGTTTCATGAAATGTGAGAAAGGAAGAAGTTATTTTTATAAGTATAAAATATTTAAAGTAACCCGACATTTTAAATAGGTATGTATAACAATGGCTTAAATATCCTAAATATACATTATATAATACATTTTCCATGTGCATATTAAGGTTGGTCAAAAACTTTAGTTGAGGATCTTTTCATTAGGAAATGAAGATGGCTTTGTTTTGAAGGTCACCTTATGTTTGAGCATATGCTGTTTTTATTAATGTGATAATTTGATTAATGACTCTCTCTCTAACAACACAGTAAACTCCAGAAGAGCATAGCCCCTACTCTAGTTTTGCTCCCAGTTGCATCTCTGCATGATATAGAACACTGAATACATTAGTCGTTTGAGTCTTAAGATAAAAATATTACTTATTTACATTATTTCATGACTTGGAAAACATTAGAGACACTAAAACAGAAACTTTAATAAAAGCATTCTGATGAAAGATAAGATGTTTTAATACCTTTCGTCCTAGTGTTAATCAAGATCAGAAGAGTCTTTTTACTCTTTTTGAATGTAAAGAATCATAATTACTTCCCCTTTTTCTCTTTAGAACTTTAATGGTTCACACTTTTGCAATGATAATTTTGAGGTCTCTATTCATTACAATTTACTCACTGGGAGATTCCAGGTTCCAAAAGGTCATTTCTATCAAAGTTGGATCTAACTGTGAAAAGAATTATAATAACACTACTTATTGAGCATTTACATCCATTATTTTAGTTAATCATACAATGATCTTATGAATTCATTATTTTACCCATTTAACAAATTGGGGAAACTGAGGCTGTCAAGCATAGCAGCCGAACTTTACCACTGGTTAGATCCTCTAATAAGTGCCTTTATGCTCTATCTCACTCAATTCCCACCACAATTTTATGACTATTGTTTTCTCTGTTTTACAGATGAGAAGAGAAGACCGAGGCACGGAGTGGGTAAGATTTAAAAAACAGGACAGCATGAGTGCCAGGATTCCAGTCCAGGCAGCCTGCCCCAGAATGGTCCCGGATAACCACTATGCAATGGCACATCATAAGACAGGAGGGGACAGCGGCAACTTGGAAAATGGATTCATTGCGGGGTGTGCAGTATGTGTTATCAAGTGAGGCCATTTCTAGTCCTCTTCCTTTTCCTTCCAGGTTGCCTTTTCCCTGCACTCCACAGTAAACTGGCCACTGTTTTAGTAGCTTTCTTGTTCGTTTTCTTAATACCTATTCACCGAATTAAAAGATTCACTGAATCTTTAAAGGAAACATTTAGCTACTGCAATTGGTGTACATAAGTTGGTTGCATAATAGGAAAGAAACAAGCCAGGACTGGCGACTTCATTTCTAAAGAAGGATTTAAAAGCAGACTAAGAGTTATTTCACAGAGCAGGTCACGAAGCGCGAGTCTCTCTATACCCTTTCATCGCTATGACGACAGGCAGCTTCTGCTACACGCAGCCAGAAAAAGCAGCTGACATTTCAATGCTGAGAACACAGGGGAGAGGGTTACGAAAACAAAAAACAGACAAAAAACAATCAAAAAACACCCCTTTCGTCTGAATTTCAGTTAGACAGAAAGAAAATGCCCTCTAGAGCAAGTCAAAACTCCTATTCTTGCCTTTAGAAAAGATAAGAAAGGAAAAATGTTAGGGCCCGTCTCCCCTGTTCAAGTAGGCCAGTAATACAGAATTGACTGCAAAGCAGCATTTCTTCTCACTCTGTGTAATGGCAAGCTGAAACGGAAAGCTTTCTTTGGTTTCATTTAACTTGACCATTAAGAAGCTACTAACTGATGAAGGAGTAAAGACTCAGTAATAAATCCCTCGTTTTGAGCCCCCCCCCACCCTGCCCAAAGGAATACAGTAGTGTCAGATTTATTTTTACATTTCTTTTGATTAAAAAAAAAAGAGGACAATTCAAAAAATATTTCCTTCTGGATCCCCAATTTTACCACCAGAAAAATCATTCCAAGTGTGTAACAGATTATTCACTGATACATGATTTCTTGTAAGCAACCAGTAAAATTTCCTGTATGCCTAGTACTCTGCCAGGTGCTACACTTGGCATAAAATAAACATCTCATTTGATTCCTACGACAACCCCATTTGTGGGTATTATTGTCTTCATTTTGCTTACCAGATGGGTAAACTGAGTCCTGGAGGTGTGAAGTGACTACCCATGCTCACACAGCTGGTAAGAGGCAGTCAGGATTCCCTCCTAGGTATATTATACTCTGAAGCCCATGCTCTGTCCACTCTGCTGTGCTGACTCAGAGTCATAGACTTTTTACTACAGAGCAAAATATGTAAGTACAGGGAAGATACCCTGAGGGAAAACCTAAAGTTCATTTCCTTTCTACAGAGTTTCGCTAGGGACATAAAGGTAGGTTGGTGCTTTCATATTAGCTATGATTAATTGATTGCTTAATATATACCAGGCATTGCTTCTTTCTTCACTTGCTTTTTACAACAAATCTCTGAGGTAGCTATTAATTTTATAATCCCATTCCACAAATGGGACTGAGGCACAAAGAGTTTAAGTTGTTTGCCCAAAGTCACAGAGCTGTTTAGTGGTAAAGATCAGATATAAACCAGGCCTATCTGGTCAGATATAAACCAGAGCCCATGGTCTTATTCATGTTATTAGACCATCTGCCTACCTTTGCAGCAATCAGCCAAGACCACACAGTCTATTTTCCAGAGTTCTGTCCATCTTTTGATGACCAAGACAAAAGCCAGACTAGCTCCAGGTTGTACTATCATGGTAAGCTTAGCCTTTGGCAGAAGATGCTCTGTGAGCCCATGATAACCAGACCTTAGCCTGGTTGGGAATCTCTCAGGCAGCAAGGCCTAACAGGGAATTCTTGAGGATTTTTGGGGTCCCCTTTCTTCTCCACCAAAGATCCTTCCAGAGTGATACATGAGGGCAAAATGCATCTCAAGTTTTTTTTAACAAGTTGTTCATGTTATTCTTGGTGAAAAAAGGTTCTGACACATTGTGCTAACAACCTGAACTAAAATAGCAATTGTCATGTACTGTTACAAGTCAACTGAATAAAAATAACAGTCAAGAGGAAATGAAATAATGTTTTAGAGTTGTCCATATATATCACTATTCATTTCATATCTGTCGTCACTATTTATTATTTTTACTTACTTAAGTGAAACCGTGCCATGAGAGGCTACTGGGGATTAAATCCCAACAGACACGGAAAGGAAATCCCAGTGTCCTAATTGCTCAATAGCTGTACAAAAATCCTCAGAAAAAGGCAAGATTCATAAATAACACATATGTATTCTTTTCCAAAATGTGGAAAGCAGCATTAGTTGACTGGATGATCAATAGGTGAAATAGATGGCTCTGCTTTGCTAGATATTGTTGAATGAACAAAAATATAAGCCTAAATCTTTCCTAAGAGTGGTGTCTTTTTTTTTAATAGTTGCAGTTAACAACAGTCATAACCATCAAGGTTTAACTGAGTAAGCTGTAAACTGAAAAAGCTGGTATCCATGAGAAAGGGAGAATTTTTTAAAAAAGATTTCTGCCGAGTTGGACTGCGTGAACATTTCTATTTACTGTGCTTAGGCCCTGGGCCAGAGGAGAGCTCAAATACAATACCAAGGTGACATATTTAACCTCTTTGCAGATTAAAGGCAGTGCAAAAGAGATGCTCTTTCTGCAGTACCTCTTGGTGTACAGTTTCAACAGCATCGATCTGCAGTTGAAAGCATGATTTTCTCTTGAAGGGTGACCTTTAATACCTGGGAGGAATGAGCATGACTTGCATTATTGTTTTATTTTAGACGCGTGAGCCACAAATGATAGAACCTTATAATATATGAGTTATTATAATCTCTTTAGCTCTTTACACCCCCGTCCCTTTTGCTTTTCTAAATAAGACATCATCAGGAATTAGAGACATTTTCTGTTTGTGTATATATCTTAACAAATGATAGTAGGAGGCAAGAAACAGTTATAAATCCATAGAAGGGAATGAATGAGGAAAGAGATAGTTGCAATAACTTAAAAGTAATAAAAAAAGAATATAGCATTAGAGGTATTTTCCTACCTTTCGGAAAAGCAAAATGTTTCATTTTTACATAGCTGTTAGGTACTGGCAGGCACTGTGGTAATTAAATAACTTTAGGTAATTTAAACATAGAAAAGATACAAATTATTTGATTTGAAAGTTTTTTTTTTTTAAATCAAATTTCCTCATGGTTTATTTCATACATTTAGTAAAGTATTTCCACAGAATACTTTTCAGGATTCAGATTTCACCAAGATCTGAATGCTACTCAGGCCAAAAACAGTTCTACACTTGTGTTCTTGGTCTCCACTAAAATTACCATCATTTATTAGTACTTGCTATTTAATCTTGGAAGAAAAAAAAGAAACGTGAATGCAAATGGAAAAATTCCCTATTAAGTAGCTTTTTGGTAAATCACATAAAAGGCGGCTTTTTTTTTTTTTGGTAAATAAATGACTTTGTATTATTTAGGTAAAAATATTAGACAGCTTTATCAGAGCATGCAAATCAGTTTTACAAATGTAATTAGACAAAACAGTAAACTTATTAAAATTTACCTTCAGGTAGGTGGCTGGACCCAGAGCTTCGGTAGAAAATTGAAGTTGAATCCCTTCTCTGCACACAGCCAGGAAATAAAAGTTTGATAAACACCCAAGAGAAACTAAATCCCTTTCCTCGTTAGCTCTGCTTCTTTGCCCAGAAGCACATTCAAGTCTACTGAAGTTGAAATTCTGCTGCTCTGTCAACTAGTCAGGGTCTGAAGTGACAGATGAGAATTTGGAGGTTGGCACCAGGGAGTATTTCAAACTGTCATCGTTTTTGTTGCAGATTCCTGGATTTCTCTAGCAGGCTGGCCTCTCTCTCTGAGGACGCGATGAGCATTACAGGCAGTGCAAACCAAAAGGGAAAGAACTAATACTGCTGGCATGGATGGGGTTAACAGTCTTCCCCTCTAGCTCTTGTTCTCAGAGGCTCATAACTTGGCCAGAATATAAGCACTGGCTGTTTCTGCATTTTTTTTCCCCCTTTCTTTTTCAAACAACTTTGAGAGCTTTTCCCAGCAAGATCCCTTTTTTGGGGATTTTTATTTTAAGACTTTGAAAGGAAACTCCATGGTGTGATTTTTTCCTAAAGGAAATTGGGGAGTAGGGGTTACAGAAGGGGAGAAGAATAGTTGCAGCAGATGCATTTTTACACTGCTCGATTGGAAATTTTTCTCATGGATATAGTCTGAATTTTAATAATAGGGTACTTCAGGTATTTTAACCTTTTTTGAATGAGCTTCAGAAATTTACAAATATATGAACCATCACTCCTTATATTATAGATCGCTTGTATGCCAATTCAGAGATGTTGCAATCCATAGACTTTTCTCCCTCAACATAGCTCCTCCTATACTATAACCCCATGTTTATAATGGTTGTCCGTGAGAAGTTTTCCCATGAAAAAGACTGTAGGTTTGTGCTTATTTTTGACGTGGAATTCTGGATATTTATATATGTGCCTAATCTTTTCCACTATTATTTCTACATTTATTGCACATTTATTATGTGTCAGATGCTGTGCTAACAGCTTTTTATGCATTATATCAGTTGATTCTCACAAGTCTACCTGAGGTAAGTTTCACTATGTTCCCATTTGAAGGATAGTGTAGTATCGTGGTTAAGTCTGCAGAATTTGAAGTCAGGCAGCTTGGGTTTGCATTCTGGCTTTACCACTTCCTAACTGTATGACCTTGGACAAGTTATGTAACTTCTCCCAGCTTCAGTACCCTTAGCCACAAGATGGGACTACAAATATGGAAACAATAATAGTATCTATGTCAGGCAGTTCTGAGTTTTAATTAAGTTAATACATACAAGTAAACTGCATAGAACACTCTGCTACCTAATAGGCACTCAATAAATGTTAGTTTTTATGGTTTGCATATGAGGAAATCAAGGCTTGGTAAGGCTGAGCGATTTTTCCAAGGTCTCTAACAGTAAGTCATAGGGTGGGATTCCAACCCAGCTACCTTGGCCAACAGCCACACTTGTGTTACTCACCTCTAGGCTATAGCACTGCTTTGTGAGCAAGCTATAGACTCCTTGAAGGTAGGGGATGTACGCCCTGTATTCTCCTGGTGCCTAGCACAGTGCTTTGCATACTGTAGATATTCAATTAACATTAGATGAATGGTTGTAATTAAATTAAATTAAATTTAGATTTTCTAAATGTGCGTCAAAGTCTGGACAAAAACAAAATCAACTGATAAAACAAAACAAAACTAAACTGAACAAAAAATCCAACCTATAATTCTAAGCAAATATGCCCTCAGCCAAATCTCTCAAAGCACGTTAGAAACATTTGCCCTTATTTATTTTCATAACAATGTAACAGAAAGGTAACAAAAATTATCTTTATTTTGCAGTTGGGGAAATTTGGGAGCAGAGGAAACTGGGCAATTTGCCTAGAAACCGAAAACAAGTCACGGTGCAGCTGGGAACCATCTCCCGTCTCTTGAATCAGGATTACTTGCTCCAAACTGCCTTTCCAGGGACAGGAGGAAAGGATGTGACACCCTTTTGCCTCCAACAATGGGATGTTTTTACTTAGCCAAGGTCTGAAGTGCGAGGTTACTTGCTCCAAACTGCCTTTCCAGGGACAGGAGGAAAGGATGTGACACCCTTTTGCCTCCGACAATGGGATGTTTTTACTTAGCCAAGGTCTGAAGTGCGAGCAGTCTCCTCAGAGGAAGGGTAAAGAGGTGGGCTGTGCTGGACTGTGCTTCTCCCCTGCCTCTGAGCACATCTGTTGGTAGAAGTGTGAAGACACCTGCAACATTTCTCCAGCATCTCCTGAGGGTTGGCATCTCATGAGTGGTGGCACTGTCTCAGGGATGTAGAAAAAGCAGTTTTTAGGAGTTTGCCCTACTTAGCTAAAGGAAATTTTCTCAGAGACCCAAAATATTAAACTTCTTATTTTAACTAGTATTCCCTAATTTCGGAGATGGCTTTAGGAGATTGATTTCAGGTAATTACCTCAATTCATTGAGAACCCTACTTAGCTAAAGGAAATTTTCTCAGAGACCCAAAATATTAAACTTCTTATTTTAACTAGCATTCCCTAATTTCGGAGATGGCTTTAGGAGATTGATTTCAGGTAATTATCTCAATTCATTGAGAAAGTAGAGAAAAGTTTTAGCTGGAGAGCCATGAAAAAAGATTTGACCAACTAAAATGTTTTTTTCTAATACTGAAATTCATATTTTATGTTTCTATGAAATGACCAAAATAAAATTTCTTACAGAAAACTGTATTTGCATAAAAATAATTTAGTTAAAGCAAACTGGATTAATCTCTTAAATGTAAATAAGTACCTAGAGAGTTCATTTGTAGGTGGCAAAGCTTGAGAATTTTACCCCTCAGTTTTATAAGATGTCTTATTAATCTATAACATGATTAAAAAGATCCACAGAATTTCTTATAACTAGATAAGGGAGAAAAATGAATTAAAAAATAAATAAAAGGCCCTTGAATTTACAATGTCTTTTAAGTGTGGCTTTATTTTGGGAATGTTTCTTGGCAGGTATCCAAACTCTTGTTTCTGAAGCTGTCATTTCTAAAATAGTTTACAGCTCATAAAGCTGAGGACAATAAACCTACAACAGTATCCACCTAACAGATGGAGCTGTAGATCAGATTTAGAAAACATATGCAATGTCTAAACCTTGCAGAAGTGGGAGAACTTTGAAAAGAGATTATTACATGACTGTGTATGAACTGGCTCACACACCATCAGCATTGGTTAGAGGTTCTGACAAATGCCAACATCTAAGCTGGAGTATTTTTTTTTTTTTTTTAACATTTCTGTGTTAGAATTCCCTTTGAGAAGAGGATGAAAGCTGTGGACAAGCTCCTGAAGCCCATCTATGACAACTCCCTGCCCACACCAGTAGAGGTTCTATGAGGTTAAGAACCCCTGATTCAGGGGAAGGAGAGAACACATTAGCCAATCCTGAAGGATATAATAAGCCTTGTTGTTATACATAGCACAAGTCTCTGGGTGACATAAGAGAAATATCATAGTTCCTGCCCATGAAGAATCTAAGAGACGAGACATGCATGCATTGTCAGAGGTGGCATGATTCCTTTAGAGTAGTGGAGAGCCCGGGCGGGAAGTGAGCATGGGGGGAGGAAAGCTGCAGTGCAAATGGAATGTCCATAGCAATCTGGGTTGGGACCCGGCCCCTAGGACCCTCTCCCTGCTTTCCCAATGTATTAGTCTGCTTGGGTTGCCATAACAAAATACAGACTGGGTGGCTTAAACAACAGAGATTTATTTTCTCACAGTTCTGGAGGCTGGAAATCCAAGATCAAAGGGTTGGCAGGTTTCATTTTTCCGGTGGCTTCTCTCCTTGGCTTGCAGAGAGCCACCTTCTTTCTGTGTCCTCACATGGTCTTTCCCCTGTGCATGTGTGCTCCTGGTGTCTCTCCCTCTTCTTATAAGGACACCAATCCTCACCCTTATGGCTTCGTTTAACCTTATGTACCTCTTTAAAGGCCCTATCTCCAAAAATAGTCACACTGGGAGGTAGGGCTTCAACATATGAATTTTGGGGGTAACAGTTCAGTCCAGAACATCCCCATTATGTCTTTTAGGCTTTGATATTTAGCTCTCTGTGGGTCTTGCTTCTTGGACACACACAAGGTCTCAAGTTACTAAGGCTTAGTAACTGACCTCTGCCTGTACAATCTCCCCCAACCCCCAGTACTACCATCCTATCCTGGCACTGAACCATTTCAGATCTCTCAGCTTGACCTTGGTTATCATCCACTGGGTCAATTTGTGACTACAGGCTCTTGCAGTTTTCTCTAGCCATCCTTGCCCAGCCCAGCCCTTCTATGGGCTTAGTCATAGCCTCTGTTAGGTATTAGGCAGAGGCTTGACACACAGGAAGCAATTAACAAGAGAGTAGCAAAATGTGTACAATATTTTTCTAAATATAACATTATTAATATAATTAATTGTTATTTTTCTAGTAATAACCTTTGAAGCAAAAGAGATGAAAATAAAGAGAGAAAAATATATTAGGACTGGGTGATTTTTAGATGTTAGGTTAAGCAGTTTGGCCTTCATTCATTAGATAAAAGGGAGCTCTGGAAGGTTTTCCCATTGAAGATTATGCAATGTAGGAAGTATCTATGCTGCAGTAACAAACAATCCCCAAATATCAGGGGCTTACAACAAAAAAACTTTTTGTTTTAGTTTTTATTTACTCATGCTGCATTTTTATTGCAAATCATCTGCAATTCTGTTATACATCTTCACTGTGGGATCCAGGCTGATAGAGCAGCTGACTTGTTAGAAGAAAAAGAGACATGGCAAACTATGCTTGGTTCTTAAAGCTTCTGCCTAGGTGTGGTTCACATCAATTCTGCCTACCTTACATGACCAAAGTAAGTCATGCGTCCACACCTGGCTTCGGTGGAGTAGGGAGGAATATTCCGCCTACTCAGAGGAGTAACCATAGTCAAGAGAAGCAGAAAATAAATTTTAATCAGGAATAAAAGGAGAGGAGATTCTGCTGAAAAAAAGTATTAGGGAAAAAGGAAGAAGAGAAGAGAGGGAGAAGAAAAGTTTAAATAAGAGGAGGATAGAAGAAAGAAAGGGTGGAAGAGAGAAGAAAGTAGGGTAAAAATAGCAGGCAGCTCTATAAAAGACACAAATAAATAATTGAGAGAACTGGGACAACAGAAATATAAGGAGTTGGACTAGCTTAGAGAAATACCAGTCATGGTTCAATACAGTTGTAAGAGGTTTGCATTTGTTTTTTAGAGCTGTCATAGCAAATGACCACAAACTGGGTAGCTTAAAACAACAGAAATTTATTTTCTTGAAGTTCTAGAGGCTAAAAGTCTGCAATTGAGGTGTCAGCAGG